TGTGTGTGTGTGTGTGTATATATATATATATATATATATACATATACATTTGTCGCAAGTATGCAAGAAAATATCTCTCTGAATCATGAATATAATTCGAGTAATATCTTTGGATGTGGCCAAAAATAGATTTAACTAACATGATAAGTCATTGGTGGGATTTTTTTTTATCAAGGATGGTCAATCGTATGTTGATTAGAAAAAAAACATCGTCGTTGTTTCGTACGAGTTATTTTCGCAAAATATATTACAATTAATAGAGTGCACAGATAAATTCATCTATACATTCTTAAGCGTCATAATTAAAAGCATCCAATCAGCGATACCTTGACCAATCCTATGCTTGCGTACCATATAATTATCGAATTATACAGTATCGTATTTCTATAATGCAGATTATATAATAATTTATACAAGATTACTCGATATGCAAGAGCATTTTTTTAGTTTAATATTTCTCTCTCTCTCTCTCTCTCTCTCTCTCTCTGTGTGTGTGTGTGTGTGTGTGTGTATACACGCGCGCACGCGCACACTCACCCACCCACACACACACACACACCCACACCCACCCACCCACACACACCCACAACACACACACACACACACACACACGCACACTCACACACACACACACACACATATATACTGCTTGATCGATACTGATTAGGTTAATAAAACATTCTATCTATTATTCACTATTACATATAGGCAACTAAGTAATTATCTGTACCTGATGGCATTTTCACGCATATATCGCATTTATTCGCTCCGATAAAAAAACAAAAATAATATGACAAACATTCAATAGTACATACAAGTCTAACTGTAAGTACGATAAAAAATTCCATCAGGTATGTATGCCACTAATTTGTGCTTTATCGATTAAGTGTGTAACAAAGAAGTACCTTTTTTTTAAGACTTCAAAAGTAGCAGCCCTATCACAGTGTGGCTCGGAGTGAAGGCGATTTTTATAATCCATTTAAAAAAGATCAGAAGTATTTATAAAACAGATTCTATTTGCTTGATCTCTTTCTCGGGTGGCTCTAAGGGTGACGGCGCAGTTTCTACTATCTCCGGTATATCTTCCTCATTCTCTTCTTCAATATCTTCGTCGATTGGAGTCAATGTATCTAATATCACAGGTTGAGTCTGCAACAAGTAAAATAATTTGATAATTTTCGTAGTAAATTCGATATTATTATAAGCTAGTGCAAAAAAAACCATTTATTAAAAATGTGGCCATGGAACTAATATTAAATATTAAATAAAACTAATATTAAATATAAAAGTCACGATATAATTAAATATTTACAGCAAAAGAAAATTACTATAGTGATGCTAAAACAATATTTTAAGGCAAGGAATACAACGAAATGATGAATTATAATAAATTTTATTTAAGAAAAGCTCTAAGATTTTAAAAATAGACTCTCGTCCTCTGAAGGTTAAGTAACATCGAAAAATTGGCAAAGATTGAAAAGTTCGTTTTACAACATAGAAACATCTTTAACATCGAAAAATTGGCAAGGATTGAAAAGTAAAAAAATTTTTAAAATTATCATAAACTAATTATAGAGTCTTAAGCTTAGAGCATCTTAAGTCATTAAAACGATCTTGAAGCAAGAACGAATTATAAATACTGACTAAAGATTGAAAATTATATGATTACTTACCTGCGGTGTAGTACACCGTTTCATAGCAGGGGCCATGAAACTAGTAATAGTGCTCATAAGGAAGAAGAACCCTGCCATGAAGAACGGGATACTGTAACTCTGCGTTGCATCATAAACAGCGCCCGCTAAGGGTGAGCCAATTATAGCGGCAGCCCCTCTGAATAGAATTAAAAGGCCGAAAGCGTTCGTTAACTTGTCTAATCCCAAGAGATCCACCAAGATGATCGATGTTAATGAGATATATCCAGCTAAAATCCAAATCATAAGATAATAAAAATATTCAAAATGAGATAAATTTTCATACTTGACAATTTCAACTGAAATAATGGATGTTTAATAGTTGCGTAGTTGAGATACTTACATATTGCTATCCCAAAAAATATGCTCATGATGATGTAAGCGGCATAACTATGACAAAATGGTGTAGCGGCTACTGCGATTGTAGATATAATTAAGCAAATATTGTTTAGTAATAAGGAATCGACTTGCGGAAAATCGGCAACATATCCACAAGCCACACGACCTATGGTGTTCGTTATTCCAATAATAGATAATAAAAATGATGCAGAATTGCTTTCAATTCCCTTAAAAAAGGAATAATATTCATTGAATCATGATATTGCATAATTCAGTGATATACTAAAGATTGATAAATAACATACATCTAAGACCGCAGCATCTACCAGATATACAAAAGGAACATACAGTCCAGCCATACCAAACACATTGCTAATACCAATTAGAAGGAAAACAGGATCTTTCAATAAAGACATATCCATCATTGTCGCTAAAGCTTCCTTAAACGAGTCAGGCAATACCAAACAAGGACATAAAGGTTCTAAAAAAATTAAAATTTATGTTATTTTTCTGGCCTTTAATATTGTTTAAGTTTTATATATATATATATATGAAAAAAAATGTATACATACGTTGTTGTGCTTTTTCGATATCGATGTCTTTCAAATCACCACGTACAGATTTGGGAATAGATACAACACTCTGACGGTAATTGGCAAGGGATTTCTGGCTTTGGTATTCTGGTAAATTGACTACACTACCACTGTAGAAAATATCCTTTCTCGATAAGGGACGGACAATCATTGGTTTCTCTTTTTGGATACTAGCTTTACTGGTAGTAAAAGTAATACTCTCACCATCCTAATATCGAAAGAAGATACGCACATGTTTGTTATTAGATTATTTAAAAAATATTTATGCAAATGACTTGTTTAGAAAGAATAATAAAGACATTTTCTATTGAAAAAAAAAATTGAATCTGTTAAATATCTGACTTACATCAACCTCAGCATTATTATTTCGCGATCCCAACATACTGCTAGTAGAAAGTCTCAGATGCAAGCTCTTTCTGATATCTCCGTTAGAATTAAGCGTTGTCCTAGAATTCTTTATTGCACTAAGGCTAGGCTTGTAGCGTTCGCTGGTACTCGTTTTACGAATTCTGTCAAAGAATGGCACGGAGCCGTTTTTAGGCAAACCTTGAACGTGGGTCGTGAAAGCCGGCTGTGACGCATTTCTGGGGATTATCGTCTTATTAAACTCGTTCTCGGGCTTCTCTGCGTCTTTCGTGTCTTTGGTTTCATCGATACTTTTTTTACTCTTGGACTTATTGGAAATATTTTTTAAATCCATACTGCCGCTATCACTGGTATGTCCACTAGATGAGTGCTCTTGCACCTTCACTTCAGATATGGTGGGAAGGGTTGGCACCGTCGGAACTGGTGTTAAAGGAGTTCCTTTAATATTACTTTTATATTATTTATTTAATATTACATTCAATGAAATATCGTATTATTATTTTAATTACTTGGAAAGCTCACGCGCCTGTACTTATTAAAACGACATAAGTATTGATTTTAAAACAATTAAATTCCTGTTTTTAGAAAAAGAATTTTTCAATAATTCAAAAATTTTGAAATCAATTAAAATATTTTTACTTTATTTTAAGAAAGTATCTGATGTAACTAGTAAGATATATGATCGATTCAGTTTTCCAATATTTTGTGTGTATTTCACTTACTCCACTGTCCCACCAAAACATATCAAATTTGATGGTCAGAGTTCCTTACCAGGCACTAATTGGTCTAAATTGAAGCTGGAATGAACACCGGGATCAATATTAATGGGCATTTTCATCCTCTTTTCCATGGATCCGTCTGGTAACTGCACCATAAAGTAGGAGCCACCGATACTACCACGTTCCATTTGAAATCTCTTTTCTTCGGCCATTCTTTGCAGCAATGGCTTAACAGAGGAAGCTTTCGGATATTCCAGAGGTCTCATCATGGCACCGAATACCTAAAAATCATCTATTTTTTTTATCAGATATACGAGATGTCATCTCGATTAATCTAAAGCTTTGTGTTCCCTGCACAATCAGAGCAGCGAGGAGCAGCGTGATTTCACTGTTTACTTACTGCGCAATTTAAGATGAGGCCAGCCAGGATTAGGTTTGCTCCTTTCCAACTGTACGCCTCCAGCAACATAGTTGCAAGAGGCGCGAACGCGAACGTACCGAATCCCGATCCGCACACAGCGATGCCAGTAGCTAGAGATCTCTTGGTTTCAAAGTAATAGCCTACACAAACTACTGCGGGTAGATATATCAAACCGAATCCAATTCCTAAAAGAATAATTGTAGATACGTGAAGAATAAAAAGAATTGTCAAAAAAATTCAAATAACGCTGATCAAAAGATCATTACATACCTCCCATAATACCATAAGTCATCATAAGCATATTTACACTGCTTGAAAACGTCGAAAGTACAAATGCGGCGGCGCCTAAGAAACTTCCTGCCATACATACTGCTCTACAGCCATATTTATTCGTTAAAGCACTGACAATGGGGCCTACGACGAAGAAAAATTAACATATAATGTATATGTACAGCGATAAACAATACGTCACGATAGAAGTTATTTTAAGAATTATATTTAATTAGTAATTATATTTTTAATGACTATATTTAGTGTGAACTTTATCGAAAACATTACAACAAGATCACAATCTAATCTCCTTTCATCAAGATAAAACTTATATTTGAGGATTTTGTCCAAAAAATATGGTTGTTCGTTTCGTACTTCGCTATTAAATTTTTAGTATAATAAAATTTTTGCTAAGAAAAAATTAATTTTTTTTTCCTACGAAGGAGATGTCATTGCAATATTTTTCGACGGTGATGGCGTATCCTAGACTTTAAAGTTCAGGTAGCGAAATTAGAAAGGCATTTCGCGTATCTTACCAGCGCTGAGGTACATTCCAGACAACAACGAGCCAACCCAGGCAGTCTTGCCCTTTCCTTCCCCAAAGTACTTGACGAATTCTCCCAGAAAGACGCCGAACGTGTAGGCAATGCCATCCACTATCATGTTACACATGAACGATGCGAATACCACCACCCAACCATATCCGCCATCCGGCGGTGGTGGTATGTCGTGGTACTCGCAGAGCGAACCTCCCTCATCCTCAGGCGAAGTTTCATCGCCACCTGGTCCATCAGTGCCTGTTAATCTCGCTTGTTCTTCTACTGAGTATTCGCTCTCCGTCTGGAAGAAAAATATAATGCAATGATAACTAGTGTTAGTTTCAACAAATGATATGTCTTAAAAAATGATATAATACATTGTAAAGTAAAAGTATCCTGCTCATAAAATTTTATCTAAGGATGATATTCATTAGAAAATAATTATATTATATCGCGTGTAGAAGAATGTCTGAGAGAAAAAAATATTTTCAAATGTGAAATGCTTGTTTCTTATTCATGTCATAATTTTAGCAATATACGTGCATAGCTTGCATATACTAGGTGTCCGGAAAATCGGCGTCAATACGGAAGTGATTCGGGGCCCAAAAAGAAGGAAAAAAAGCTATATAAACATAAGTCCGGAAATCGTTTCCGAGTTATAAGCACTTTTATGTTAAAAAATTGAAATTATGAGATGGATAGGACATGGAAATCCAGTTGCTTGGCTCCCAAGATCAGATATGAATCCACTTAATTTTTATCTAGGATCAAAAATCAATAGTTTACAGAAATACACCCAATAATATTGACTTAAGAAAACAATCCCTGGATTCGAAGAAATAAAGAGAGATCCAAATGTTTTTCAAAGAGGTCGGAATTCTTTTGATAGAAAAATAAGGGCCTTCATGCTAAAGGTGATCATTGTATTTAATTTCTATTTAAATATCTGTTTATGTTTATCTAAAAATAATATAGTAATCGTATTTATAAATATCGAAAAATTAAAAAATAAAAAATAAAAAAAATTTTTAAATAAAATGTGTATTATTTATATTGAAACACTATGAAAAAAATTATGATTGTAATTAAGAAAAATAAATTTTAATTTGTTTAACATAAAAGTGATTATAACTCGAAAACGACTTATTTCTGGATTTATGTTTATATAGCTTTTTTCCTTCTTTTTGGATTCTGATTCACTTCCCGAAGTATTAACGCTGATTTTCCAGATACTCTATATATTGCTAAAATATGGCAATTATTACAATGTCCATTTATGCATTGCGATTCAATTTTTTTACTTTGTGATAATTTAGCGTGAATAATTACATGATAGTATACTTTGGATCATATATTCTTTTAACAATTTCACAGACAAACCAGTAAACACGTAATTGAGAGATATGTTGTACCTCGCGTGATACAAACGCGTTGCATTCGCCTTGAATGAGACTTGCTGTTCACCTTGAATGTTCGAAGAAAAAGCTTTTGTGTTGGTGCATAAATACTCATTCTCTAAAGTTTAATTCGTTGATTTACGAAATATAATCGATTAGATTTCTTATCATTTAATAAATCACGACAAATACAATATGTTCTTTATATATTTTAAAAGATATTAACATTAATAATAAATATCTTAAAATCAGCAAAATCAGAATATATAAGATTCAAACAAAATTGTTTTTTTTTTAATAAAAATTATCAATAAAAATTAATTTTTTATACATCAAAAATTAACTTGACATATTAATAATTTAATTTAACCTGAAATAACAACTAAATTAATCCATATTTTCAATTGTCTTTATGATTGCTTTTAAAAAATTATTTTTATCTTTTAATTTATTATAAGTAAATAAATTGAAAACCTATTTATAATATTTTCGGATTTTGCGCAAAAAATGTTTCTATACGCGAGAGACAAAATAATAATTTGTATTATTTTCTGCCTCTCGCATATAGAAACATTTTTTTTACGCGAAAGAAATAATGTTGAAAACAGGAACAAATGAGATTATTACACATGCACAATAGGAGAGAAAGAAATTAAAGAATTCGCATATATGCAAAACAGTACGCCACGGCTCGACGATTTCATTAATCGCAGAGTGTAACACGAGAACAGAACGCGTACTGCGCGCATTGGGATGATCTCATAACGCAAACGCCAGCATAGATATTAAATAGCTAACTGTGACTTAATCAGTTTCTAAGGATGCATCTGGCCAAGGTGATACACGTCGCTCATGTAGAATGCAACACCAAGACCGAATCGATAAAGGAACTGTTGTTTGCGATCCAAGCCGCATTTTGCAGAGATGTAATTATCTTTATTGGTATATCATTAACGTGCAATTCGTTACATGAAAAACAATACTTTAAATTATAGAGAGAGGATGAATTTTTTAAATTTTTCTATGTATAACGGAAAACGTAATCTAAAAACGTAAAACGATTCTCTGCATTTGAAATTCTAATTGAGGTTTTTTTACGAATAGAGATTGTCGATTTGAAGTTGTTGATATTCACAAAAAATATTGATTTAATCAGTTAATGTTATTTTCATTATATTATATTTTCATAATATTATATATTAATATAATGTATATTTATTTAATTATTATTTATTGCAAATTAGTTAATACTGCCGAATAATTCATTGGGTTGTTTAATCTGTAATTACATGCGATCATGTTGGGCTTTAATGGAAAAAAAAACTTATTAATATCGATGTATTATTATTATTAATATCGTACTAATCGACAAAGAGAAATATCAAGCTGCACCCACGCAATGCGGCTAATCAACGACGTTTTAATGCCCGCAGATGTTTCTATAATAATTACAGCTTATTGAGCCACGAGAATCAATGAGAAAGCAAAGTGTCCGAATATTAATTACTTCAATAAACAAAGAAGACAAAGGGGAATTTCAGTCATTAATAAACAATATTATTTATTCGAATTATTTATAATTTGTTTTACGCCCGTAATTCTACAACTCACGAATATAAGAACAACTTATAATAGACTATCATTTTATATAATATTGTTTTATATAATTATATAGAATATATTTTTATAAAATATAATTTGTGTAATTTTTCAATTACAGTTTTATTCTATGGATTCTATATAATTTTAATTTGCTTTGTGTGAGTTTCATATACTGTTAGATCTCAAAAGAGCAATGATAATCCAATAACTTAACGTTTTGTTATTTTTAACTATGATGTACGTCAAAATGTAAACCAATTCATTCATTTTTGTGATTAATTTCAAAATAAACAACGTATTAACATACGTTCAGTAAATAATAAATTAATTGTAAGTTTAAGTCAAATTTGATATATTTTCTTAAGTTAAAGTTAATTTGTTTTCATTGCTGTTAAATTAACGACACATTGAGTAGAAGCAGCGACTTATAGAAGAAATTAAAAATAACTGATATTGGGTAGTTTCGCCGAGATATCTAAAAATTTAGCTAGATATAGATTTGAAAGTAAAGGAGGATGGATAAAATTACCAGATTTTGGTCTAAACGAGGGCACCTTTCTTACGCATGTTTTCTTGTATTTTTTAATATGTTGAATCATTTGCAAACGATAATTTCAAACTGATTTGATGGAAACATGTTGTAAATCATATTATAAGTAGCACAACATTTTGTCAAAATTGATCTTTGATTGCAATTTTCAATATTTTTCTATCAGTTTAGCTTAATATTTGCAAATGATTTAGCACATCAAAAAGTACGAAAAAATATATTTAAAAAAGGTTTTGTCGCTTAAACTAAAATTGGCTATTTTGTTCAATGTCTTGGATAATAAATAAAATAGGTTAATTTTGATTAAAGCAATGATATTTTCCTTATATATGCTTTTATTTTCTTTAATATAATGAATAATTTGCAAATTTCATTTCGTTAAATTCAAGTTAAATGAATGGGAATATAAAAATTGTAATTAAAGATCAGATTTTAACGAAATTATGGTATTTTTAATGCGATTCCAACATATTCCCATTAGATCAACTTGAAATAATCATTTAATTTGCAAATGATTCAATACATAAAAAAATATTTTTTATAAAAAATGTTTTATATAAAAAAACATGCATAAAGAAAGATGCCCTCATTTAAGCTAAAATCTGATAATTTTACTCATCCTCTTTTTTAGACTGTCAAAATAATTACGTAAGAAAAAAATAATTACGACGCTTAAACTAATTGCTAGAATAACGCATGAAAAATTTTTCAGCATTCTCATCGTGCTGTTTTCTACACAAATATCTAGATGGACCAAAAATACTTTCAGATCTAATAAATTTTTAGCTATTTCAACAAAATCGTTCTTTTGATCATTCGATATATGAACATGTGTATAATTTCAATTTGCAGTCTCGCATAGATTTCGTATAATTTCAGTCGTGTTTTATCGTCACATTAAGAAAAAAATCATTTATTCATTTATTGACTGAATTAATTTGTCTTTATTTCTTTCATTGGAAAATGTATTTTAATTAAATGTAATTCCTTTCTAATTAATTCTCCTTCTTTTCTTTCTATTACTATTATGTTCTCCTTCCACTACATATTCTTCAACACAATATCTTTGTCTCTTGTCCGTAATCATTGTTTATTAAATTGTTTGAAAATAACGTACTTAATATAATTATTCTGTTTTGATATCTCGGTGATTGTGAACTATTGCAATTTGGAAATACTAGTCAATTAAAAGTACAAATAATTTATATTTAGATTGATTTTAAGTTATACAATATGATATCAAATTATATAATATTAATCAATAGTTATTTTAATTTAGATACTGAGAATGCTTTTAATCTTGAAATTGCAATGGATGAATTTGAATTGCATTACTGCCTGCAACAATTGAAGGATATGGAGAAGTAAGAACAACATCATGAACATAAAATAACATCGCAAGTTTAGTTTCATTAAATTGTACACTGAAAATGACTCGATAGGGGTTGAAACGTATGGTTATATTT